ACTGATGTCAAGGAGCTTGCTGTGTATGTTTTCCTCTAGGAGTTTTATGAATTCAGGTCTTACATGCAAGTCCTTAATTTATGTTGAGTTAATTTTTGTGTGTGGTGTAAGATAGTGGTCCAATTTCACTCTTTTCTGTTGTCCAGTTTTCCCAACACTATGGTGAACCCCATGGAATAAATAAAAAGACAAGACAAGCACATCATTGTGAAGCTAATAGTTGTGGGAGGAAGTCTGTCCAGCAGAGCTCTCCCGTCTGCCATAGATGAGAAATAATTCATCCTGGACACAATCTTGCTGTTCCAGCAGGAAATGAGACGGCAATTCCGTCTAGTGGAGAATGCCCGAGCTTTTCTCCCAAATGGCTTTATTGGGATCGGTATGTGTAGGTGTATACATCATACATGCATAGTCCATCAATCAATGTCAATAGGCTACAGTCAGACAAAAACAGGTATTATCTATAGATAACAATGGAAGGAACACAGAGATCTGTCATAGGTCAGGGTCTGTTAGTCATGCTGACACCAGAGGGTCTTTAAGACATGTTGCATGAGATAAGGAGTTTACTCCTTATGGCTTGGACTTGGTTTATATCAACAGGGTTACAATAGGCAGAGCAGGCTTCAAAGGACAAAATGTACATTTCAGGCCTGATTCTCACAGTAACCCTCAAGTGTTAGAGTCGGGTCATGTCTGCCACCTGCGTTTTTACCTGGTTTTCCAGGAAGACTTATTAGCCCCTTTCAGGGCTTGCTCTCTCGGGGCTACAGTCTCCAAAACCACACAGAGCAGTCCCCAACAAATAGAAACCAAATCTAAAGAGATAATGTTGCTAAAGACAGCCAGGAAAAAAAGAAAAAGGCAAATCCCCTTTAAAGGGACAAAATAAGAATAATTTAACATCTCAATAGACCATAGAAACCAAAAAACAATACAGTGGAATTTTCAAAGTACTGAAAGAAAAAAATAGCCCTAGCTGGTGTAGCTCAGTGGATTGAGCGCGGGCTGCAAACCAAAGTGGTGCAGGTTCAATTCCCAGTCAGGATACATGCCTGGGTTGCAGGCCATGACCCCCAACAACCGCACATTGATCTTTCTCTCTCTCTCTCTTTCTCCCTCCCTTCCCTTTCCAAAAATAAAAATAAATAAAATCTTTAAAAAAAAGAAAGAAAAAAATAACCAGCAACCTTGAATTTTATATTTAGCACAGTAGAAGCTATTGGTGTCCCACATCTCATTCCTTCAGCCCAATTTTAATTTTTATTTTATTTGGGATCAACTGATTGGTAACCTTAATTACACCTTCAAAATCCCCTTTGCCATGCATAGCTTATAAGAGTATCACAATGGACAGAAGTCACTGGGGCCATCTTAAAATACATAGCCTTCCACCTACCACACATACCCTATCACCCATCAATTCTACTTCTAGGTATATACCCGAGTGAAATGTGTACATTATCTTCACCAAAATACATGCTCTCCAGTGTTCACGGAAGCACTGATCATAGCAGCCGAAACTCAGAAACTACCCTGTGTCCCTCAAGAGAACAGTGGTATGTTTGCTCGTTGGAAATCTACATAGGAATAAGAATAAAAAATAATATAGATGAATCTTACAAACATAAAGTTGAGCAAAAAAACAGATGCAAAGGATATTTTTCATTTATATATAGTACAAAAATTGATAAAACTTATCTATGGGTAGGAGTCAGAATGATGGTTCCATCTTGGAAAAAGGGGAAAAGAATGGAAGGAGACATTAGGAGGCAGACAGACAATATTGTGTCCTGAGCTAAGTGTGCTCAGTTTGTGGAAACTTATGGAGCTGTATTTGTATTCTATGTGTGAAGATTTTAAATTACTGCTTCAACTGAATCTCAGAAAATCCAAAAGAATCTTCACACAAACTACTAAAAATAATAGAAGAACTTATCAAGATGGCTAAAAGTAAAATGAATGTAAAATTACATTTCTATATACGAGCAACAAAAAACTAGAATATATAGTTTTATGTATTTTTAAAATCTGTAGTTTTAAACACCACCCATAACAGAATCAGAAAATGTCAAGTATCTGGAAATTCATCTAACAAAAGACATGTGAATCTCAATGGAAACATTATAAAACTTAATAAAGTTTTAACTTAATAGAGAGGTGTTAAAGAGGACTTAAATATACAGAGAGATGTACTATATTCATACTTACAAAAACTTCATATCAAAAAATGTCAATTCTTTTCTAATTGATCCAATGCAAATGCAAACAGATTTCAGATTAGCTGACTCTACAATGTATCTGGAAGAGAAAAAGATCAAGAATTTCCCTTCTGAAAGAGATAAACAGGTAGGGCTATTTGCCCTTCCAACATTTAGGATTTGCTAAAGTATTCAGAAAATGCAGAACTGACAAAAAAAACACAAAGTGGCCAGTGGAATAGAAAAGAACCAAAATCAGACCCATACATGTATGGAACTTCGGTACTTACTGGATTGGCAGGGGAGGAGAGACTACAAAGTAAATGAAGTTGGAAAAAATAAGGTCATACATATAGAAAGAAAGAAAAGTGCTTCCCTAACTCACTCTATACAGTATACAAAATTCAACTCTTAAGACTTTAAATCATTAGAAAAGATAGGTGAATATCTTATAGACCTTAGAGTAGAAAAGCATTTTTAAAGTGAAATACAAAAAGCACAACTCAGAAAAGATAAATTTAATCACATTAAAATTAATAACTTTTATGAAAATCCCTTAAATAAGTGAATTTTAAACCTCAAAGCTTCCCAGCCCAAGGCAGAAAAAATTGAGGTAGGTTTATCTTATTTCAATTTCACAAAAATTCATAAAATATTTAGTAAGTGTACACAGAAATTAATGAACAGAGAACTAAAAGAGAGAAAGATTAATAAAAACAAATGTGGTTCTTTGAAATGTTTAATAAGATCACATCTCTGGCAAGACAGATCAAGAAACAATGCAAATACAGACTGAAAGAGAAGAAAAGTCACATTACAGAACTGGGTTAAGTATAATAAGGGCAAACTGTGACAGTGAGACCACTGTCCTAATATACCAGGGTGGAAGGGAACACAGAAAGATAGGTGAACTCCGTTACAGTGCATTAAGGGCTCCCACCACCTGTTGTACTCATCTACCCAGCAGTGTCTCTAGGAATAAAAAGAATATATTGCAAGTAAATGAATTCATTTGTTCATTCATTCAAAAACTGTGTTTGATTCTCTATTCCAGCCTCCATCTCAATTCCTGGTACAGAGATGAAAGGGATTCCAGAGGACAAAAGTTTGAGGACTGGGAAAAAGAGGAGTAACTCACTACTAGGTCAGGGAGAAACAGCTATTTTGAGTCCGCAAAGGCAAGAGTATAACCCTAGCCTTTTATCTGGTGTGGGGACAAAAATGGCAGGGATGTGAAGCGTGATGGAATCAGAAGGCCTCCCTGATGTCTTCCCTCAGTCACTTGCCTGTTTTCTCACCTCAATAGTTGCACGGAAAATCTACAAGGAAACTGGAGTGACTACTGGGATGCTCTTTTCAACTCCTCTCCTCTGAGTCCGTGCAGCTGGCTCACAGCTGCCAGCCTCATTGGACATTGCTCTCAGCTGCAGGAAACTGCCTCACCCACCATCTGGGGGCAGCCAGGCTAAAGAATGGCTGATGTGGGAGCACAAAGGCCTGCTCCCTGCCTTTTTGGGACACCTATGAAGAACCATCCTAATTCCACACTGCCGTGTTGGACAACCTCAGTTGCACATTGTGGGTCCCCTGATCCTACCACCTTCCCGTGTATTTTTTTTTTATTTCACTTATTTTTAGAGAGAGGGAAAGAGAAGAAGAAAGAGAAGGAGAGAAACATAGATGTGAGAGAGAAACTGATTGGTTGGTTGCCTCACATTTGTTCCCACGCTCCTACAGGGGAGGAACCACAACCCAGGTGTGTGCCCCGACAGCGAATCAAACCCGCGACCTTTTGCTTTGCAGGGTAACACTCAACCAACAAAGCCATGTGGGTCAGAGCAATGGGTATTCTTTTGTTTGATTGTTTTGTAAGATTTTATTTATTTATTTTTAGAGGGGAAGGGAGAGAGGGGGGAGAGAAACATCAATGTGTGGTTGCCTCTTGTGCGCCCCCTACTGGGGATTTGGCAGGCAAACTTCTTTACTTTCTGGGAGGCCCTGAACACCTTTGTCAATACAATGAAAGCTAAAGACCCTCTTCTCAGAAAAAAATACATACAGGCTCTTAGTGTAAACGTTTACATACTATTTTAATATTTTAGAGAGTTTTTTTTTCTTCCTCTCATCTTTAAGGTCCAGTTCAAACTTTACCACCATTTGAGGCCTCAAGTAGCTCTTTGTACATAATCATAAGATTAGCCACCATTTATTGAGCACTTTCTTACAAGACACGTGCTAAGTAAGTGCTTTAACTTCATGCCTCTGATCTTGACATAAGCCTGCAGGGTAGTTACTAATATCTTTCTTTTAGAGATCTAAGAACTTGCCCAATGTAACACAGCTAATAACTAGCAGATACTGAGTTAATACCCCAATTTGTAAATCTTATGCTTTGAATGGCAAGGAAAAATAAGAGAAAGTTGATGACAGTAACTCCTCAAAAGTCGCGTACTTAGTAGTGTCAGAATTGGGATGTAAACCCAGGTCTAATCCCAAAACTGGAGCTCTTTAGGTTAAATGTGTCACAGCGTCCTTAGAAACGAAGGACAGTGATTTTTGTCCTGCCTCTGCCCTTCGCAGCTCCTTTGCCACTTGCATTTGCTCCTAAGCAACTCCCCGAAGATCTTCGCGTGGCGAAGTCAGTCTCTCACACAAGAAGCGACTCGTCGTTTGCCGTACAACGTGGCGGCGCTATGCCTCCTCGTCCATGTGGGAAGGCTGCGTTGTATCCGTACAACATGGCGGCACTCTCGTACCACGCCTCTGGTTCTGACGTAACCTCCTGTCGTGCTTAGTCGATTGTACCTTTGAACTCGGAAGCGCTCTCCTTTCCTCTTCCGGGAACGGTGTTATTAGGTATGGTTGCTTTTTCGTTCTCCCTGTAGTTTCTCCTGTTACAATCGGCTGCCATCCAGGGAGTTGCGGCAGCCGAGATCTATCAGACGCAGTCTTTTTGAGTTGGCGTGGGGGTAAAGGCTCTGGAGGAAGGTTGGTGGTGAGCAGGTCCCCGACTTTTAGCTTCAGACACCTCTTCACCTTAACCTCGAGTGTCGTGAGGGGTTGGAGCTCGCAGCCCGGCACTTCGCCGCTAGTGAAGACCCGCGTTTGGAGACCTACGGTTTGTGGTGCGGCTGGTCGAGATTACGGGAAATGGCCGAACAGTTTCGTACTTAGGCCGATGTTTTAACACCGCTCCTGTGGATGTTCTCAGGCTTGTGGATGGCGGACGACCGACATGTTTCAAACGTTCCCCTTCTCCCCTCAGGCCAAATAGCAAGGAAGATTTTCTTTTTAATGTGTTAAAAAGGGGTTTTCTGTAGTAGTTTTAGAGATGCAAACGCAATAGTGGTTAATTGGGTCACTCACCTTGGCCTTCCGTTTAGGTATTGTTGTCTAACAGGTGTGTTTTAGTGTAATGTTAGTAAGGATCCTGTAATAATAAATGCAGGCCGTTTTCAAATAACAGGACTGTGATGTAATGGCTACAAAATTCAGGAAAGAAAATGAGGCTGACTCAAGTCTTGCTTATGATTTCATGTTACTTTGTGTAGTTCACTGAATAACTTCAGTCATTCATTTATATATTGGATTGACCCAAAAGTTTGTTTTGTTTTTTACTTACCATGGTTCTAACAGTGTTTAGTTTAACTTCATGGGAAACAGTTTTGTTAGATTGTATTGTGACAGCTGTCATGTCAGCATATGATTTCAAAAAAATCAAATTTGGTTAGTTTTTGTGTAGTTACTTTAATTTGAAAATGGAAGAAAATATGCAACATTTCCAGTGTATTATGCTTTTTATTATTTCAAGAAATGTAAAAACGCAACTGAAATGCAAAAAAAAAAATTTGTTAAGTATATGGAGAAGGTTCTGTGATTGATCAAACGTGTCAAAAGTAGTTGTGAAGTTTCTTGGTACTACTGACATTTTGGCCAATAATTCTTTGCTGTGGGGCTGTTTCATGCACTGGAAGCTGTTTAGCAGCACCCCTGGCCTCTACCCACTAGAAGCCAATAGCGGGAGATAGCTGACATACTCAAAATATCCAAATCAATAAAGTTATTAATGAACAGGAAAATGTGTCTTTTATTTTACAGAGAAAAACATGGATTTTTTTTTGGCCAACCCCGTATCTGTATAACCAATTTCCTAAGTGTTACCGAAGTTAGTTTTAAATGGCTGGCACTTAAGTTGAACCAGGTGCTGCTTTTTGGGCAAGATGAGCATCTGCTATGTGCCAGGCTAATAAAAGTAGTTTCAAAAAGTGAACCCCTTTCATAGATAACTTAATTAAGGATATTACGGATAGGGATAATGGGTAAATTGAGTGATGCTGTTTTGTTTTGAAGTGAATTATTTCTGCAATGACATTTTATTCCTTCTTAATTTAGGGATTCACAATGGTCCAGCGTTTGACATACCGTCGGAGGCTGTCCTACAATACAGCCTCTAACAAAACTAGGCTGTAAGTATTACTAAAGTTTAAAATACGTGTTGTCATTTACTCTGCAGAATGCTGAGCTATTGTCTGTCCTCTCATATTCTAGGTCCCGAACCCCTGGCAATAGAATTGTTTACCTTTATACCAAAAAGGTTGGGAAAGCACCAAAATCGGCATGTGGCGTGTGCCCAGGCCGACTTCGTGGGGTAAGTGAGCCGGTTGCTCCGGAAGAGTTAACGGGTTGAAGTTTTGAGCATTAATTTCTGGTATGGAAATGTTGAAGGAGGGGCCACCATTAGGGGAGGTGAGAAATTACTGAACATCCAGACCTGGTAAGAACATAGATTTCCTTTTAAAGCCAGTATGACAGATAAACTGAAATGTCTTTCACATATATCAGTATACCATTCCCTTTTGGAACCCAGTTTAATGTTTGCACTTAACCACTTTCTGAAAAAGAAAAAAATTGGCTCTGTTTCTGTAAAAAGTATCACAAAAATAATCTCAGCATTTTCTATACGCAGGTCCGTGCTGTGAGGCCTAAAGTTCTAATGAGGTTGTCTAAAACGAAAAAACATGTCAGCAGGGCCTATGGTGGATCCATGTGTGCTAAGTGTGTCCGTGACAGGTAAATATAACTCCTAGATCAAAAGGGATTTCTTAGGCAAGTGTGTGAGTCTAATTGTGCATGCTGTTCCTAGAGGACAAGTGAAGAAGATCATTTAAACAGAAGTTGCATGCTTTAGGATCCTTCCTAGACTAGGGATAATTAGTGCAGTACAAACTAATAAATGATATTAGTTCAAAATAATTCATTAGGATTTTGGCCATCTTTATGCTAGATTTGGAAATTAAAATGATCCTGGTCTTGTGGGGGAGGCAGGTAAGAAACTATTGATTATTGGGCATTAAGATAGATGGAGAGTGGGAAGAATTAAAAGCAGAAACAAAGTAGATGTATGTAGTTCTAGTGTGGCTGGAACAGAGAATAGTGGGAGCTGGTGGACAAGAAAGGGGGGAAAGTCCCAGATCATGAAGAACAATTTTTAGCTTGATTCTTAAAAATGAGGGAAATTGAAGGGTTTAAGAAGGGCAGGGAAACCTTTGGTGTGCCAGAAACTAAAACTACAGCAGGATGGATGCTGAAATCATTCTTTCAACAAAAGGCGAGTAGTGCTTGGAACAGTTTCTCTAGTTTGTCAGAGCTAATGAAATGGCCCTCATTAAAACCTGGAGGCTGGAAAGGAGTGGTTCAGGTCGACAGGCTAGGTCTTCTGGGTATGTGAAAGCAGGATAGACAGGAGTAGAAGCAGTGGAGTTTATGGTGGTAACTTTTTAAGATTTTGTTTATCTATTTTCAGAGAGAGAGGAAAGAGAGGGAGAGAAACATCAGTGTGTGGTTGCCTCTCACATCCCCGCCCCCCGCCTCAGCCCATAGCCTGTGAACAATCCATTGAGCTACACCAGCCAGGGGTACTCCGCATTTTTATAATGAATGGTGTTGCTGGTTTTTGTTTTCTTGTGAAGAAACCAAGACTTGTTGCTTAAATTCACATAGCTGGTAAGGTGCAGCCCTGGGAATTTATACTAGGCTTCATTAAGACCTTGCTCTTAACCCCACTGACTATATTAAATTGTCTCCAAAGGCCTAAGTGGCCGGATGATGGGTTTCTGCAAGTGAAGAAGGTGGTTCGGAATAGTACTCTGCCTCCAGTCTATTCAGATAGTTCTGTAAAGTGGTCTGGTCAAGTTTCTGAACCAGATCTGACACACCAGCCTTTGCAAATTCATTTTGCCTTTTAGGAGTTAATTTGTAAGGGGATGGAAGGCATGTTATGTGAATACAAATACATGATAAATACAGGGCCCAGCACAAATAACACCCCCTTTTTATTACAAAACCATAAACATGTAATTCTGTAACATAACAATGTCACACAAGCACACCATACGACATTTTAGGTGAAATGTCGAATTAAAACTATAAATTACTGCACTCATATTATTGCCCTACCAACCACACTTAAGCAGGCCTTCTGCCGGACACTGTATAACAGGTGAAATGCAGGAGAACTTAACTCAGAAGTTTGGGAGGAGAAATTACTTGCAAGTGGCTGGGAATCTAGGAATGGCATTTAAGGTGGAAACCAAGAGGTTGTAGGGGCACTGAAGGCAGAGAACACACATAGGCTTGGTCTGGCACACTGAGGGTATGAAAAGCATAAATGAAACTGGAAAGGCACATTGGAGATGAAACGGTTATACATTTCCAGCAATAGGAGTTTGGCTTTTCACTGGTCTTCCCAGACTTTGGCAGTCATGCTCATATGGGACGTTTATTAAAAGTACAGTTGTCAGGCCCTAGCTCCTGGAAAGTTGGGTTTGAATCTAGGACACAGCATTTGGATTAGCATCTGCTATGTTAAGTTTAGGGAATTTTTAAGTGTCCCGAGAAAGAGTGGCATCAGTCGTATTTCTGTCGTGTGATTGCTGCAGGAATCCCAGCGTTTTGAGTCTAGGTTACTAGGTAACCAGAGGTACCAGTGGTGAAGATCAGCGGGACAAGTTTCTGTGGGATTAAATGAGTGTTTTAGCTCTGGAGGTAACTTTGCTTTAACAAATAGTGTAGTGCCTGTTCTTTTCCAGGTCCTGTATACTACTTGCAGTGATTGATAAAAACGTACTTTGTCTCTAAATGGAAATTCAAAGTACAGAAATTGCAAATCCTTCCAAATTTAATCTTTATAAAAACTCTGTGAAATATGTATGAAAGTATTCTGTGCTCTATGATGGAAAAGGTAGTTTGCCCAAGATCACAATGGTAGATTTGGCCTCAGACATTCAGTCTCCAGAATCCTTGCTCCTGATAAAATACCTCTTGCAAATATGTTTTACCCCTTCATTTTGGTTCCCAACACATAACTCCTTCCTGTGTTTTTACTGGAAATTTTTGATAATGCGGTGAAAACATTTTAAGACATTTTATAAATCAAGTAGTGTCATTGGCCCTGGATCCTGATGAAATGCAGTTAAATAAAAGCTACTACAGTAGCAGAGAGCAGTCTACTGTGGTGGTGTTCTTATAGTTTATCATGACTCCGAAGGAGAGGAGAAGTACTGCTGGCATAGAGAAGAAGAATTACCTGCTTTAAATGCCAGTGTGTAGGGAGAGACCTTAGGTTGAAAAGGTCTGTCCATATAATTTCAATTTTTAATTTTTATTTGTGGGTTTTGTTTACTTTTCTGAGTGTCTTTCCTGATAGCTTTCCTTAGTTCTTTTCTGCCTTTTCCTGCCTTTGTTAAGTCAGTGTTATTTGGGTTTTAACTGTATTTCATATTTTCCTTTCTAGGATCAAGCGTGCTTTCCTTATTGAGGAGCAGAAAATTGTTGTGAAAGTATTGAAGGCACAAGCACAGAGTCAAAAAGCTAAATAAAAAATGGAGCTTTTCTGAGTAATAAAAATAGTTAAAAGGCTTGTTCTGTTATTTGTGTTGTAATTTGTTAGTATACCGGTTAGATGCAGTCTGTATCTGGGGACCCTCTAATTTCTAAATTTTTACTTTTTCTGACTGATACTGTTATACAGAAGAGCAGTTGGGTCCAGATGCCCGCCTGTCATCCTCTAGGCCAAAGGTGGCAAACACAAGGGCTGGATCCAGTCTGGCACCTTGTTTCTACCCAGCTGCAGCACCAAGCTCCTTGCCTGTAGTTAAAGAGTAGTTACATTGATACAGTCCTAAAATTACATTCAGCCCTTTAAAGGCAACTGCAAGGCTGATATGGCCCCCTGGTGAAAATGAGTTTGACACCCCTGCTCTAGGCATAACCCCAGAGGCAAAGGTTTGGTGATAAAGGAAAGGAGTCCTTATTCAAAGCATCACAATTTTGGAATAACAGCTTTCCACATGCATTAGTCACTTAAACTTATCAATTAAGGCTGAACTTCAACACCTCAGTTCTATAATTTACGTTTAAATTATCTAATTTCAATAGGATTAGTTTACAAACCAAAACAACGTAAGATACAAAAGCTACACATTTTAAGAAGAGGAGCAGTCTTCTGCTTCATGTCCCCTGTAAATCACCCTGCCACCCTCTGCCAGGGCAGCCCAGTCTGGGGAGATGCAGGCAATTGCCCCAGGATCATCCAGGTACCCTCAAGGCAGAGATTTCTGGCCAGTCTGAGCTCAAGAGTGCTGCTTTTGTTTAAGATCTCGCCCATAATTCCATGCACTCGAGGCATTCAGTTTAGCCAGTCCCATCTGAGACTTGACCATTGCCTCTGCAAACTCCTACATCCCTTTCCCTGCTCCCCATTGATGTGATCAGAGAACTATCAAGCAGTGATTTTCTTTCAACCTTTTCCATATCATGGCACACAAAAAAAATTGTGGTACACCAAAAAATGTTAACTAATTTTTGCTAATCTGACAAAATAGGTGTAATTTTGATTGACTTACAAAAATGTATAAAAAGTTAAGTGCCTATACTTCTATATAAGGATTAACCAATCAGGTTCAGCCTTATGCACATGACCGATAACAACTATTACATGATCTGTATATTTATGGTTCAAGAAAGGGCATTCACAGTAGATACTTTTGTGTTGGCTGTTGTCACTCTTAGCTAAAGGAAAAGGTCAGTGCCCCTGAGTAATACTAGTCAGGTATTGCATGTTTTAAAATTCTGGCAGTACACTTTTGAAAACCACAGTAATGAGAAGTCAATGATAGAATTTTTTTATGGCAACTAAAGGAAGTTTGAGAAGAGTGGCCCTTAGAGCTAAAGGTCTCTGAATACAGCTTGGATCATTCATGTAACGGCTCCTTCACCAAAGTGTGTAGGACAGAGACCACAGTGTTCAAGTTGGAATGGAACTTTTTACATCATTAAATCCTCTATTTCCTAGGTTTATTTTCAAAATGGTCTATTTTGGAGAGTGAAACTCAGCAAATAACTGTGTACAAATCATGTCTAGTGAATTGAAATTCAGATTTATGTTGGGCCTGTAATGCAAATCAGAGCATTAGAATAATAAAGGTATACAGGGTGGGACAAAAGGAGGTTTACAGTTGTTTGTATAGGAAATTAATAGGAGAATGAACTCGTACTCACAGCTGTAAACCTACTTTTGCCCTACCCTGTATTTTTCTCTGAACTACGTAATACTGTTTCTGACAATTTGTAATAATACAAAGGTATATAAAGATTTTAATAGTTCATTCTTACAGTGCTGAGACAGTACCAAGCATCCATCCAAATATTCTACATGCATTACTTCTGAATTGTCCTCCAAGACCATTTTTTCAAGCCATGTCAATCTTACTTCTAATCTCAAGAGTAGAAAGCAGAGCCCCCAGGCTACTTGCACAAGCCAAGAAATCTAGAAACTCAGCTGAAAATTCTGTAAAATTTGACCCTTTTTCTGTAAACATTGCTGTTGGCCTGATATTTATACAGGGGAGCATTTTCTCTTTATAATAAATGCAGTGCCCTTTTCTAAGGAAGGAAAAAGGCAGAAATCTTCCTTCCCTCTTGAAAATTTCATTGCACCACACTGTCAGCTAACTTCTTTGGTTGATTTTTTATCAACATTTTGCAGAAGAGAGCAAATTGGCTAGGCTGGCATTTGAACTGAGACAGTTAAATATCTCTTTTTAACAATATTGATAGTATCTCCATAATGATACCTATTTGCCATGACACATCAAAGTGCTTAACATCTTCATTTAGTCTTCCCAACACCCCTGTGACACCTTTGTTATCCCCATTTTATAAATGTTACACAGATGCTGTGATATTACCCATTAGAATTTTTGCACATGTGTTTAGGGAGTTGAGATTGAGTGATGGCTCACCCCTAATAAATACTTTAGCACAGGAAGTGATACTGAGGCCCCTGTTTACATTGTCTCAGGTGATTGAGATCCGTCATGTTTCCCCCAAATGCCTTTCCACTTGGATTGTTAAACAACCAGAACAATATGATTATTTTAAGTAATGTTTAATCACAACGCAAGAAGATTTTTAATAGGTATATAATTGAAAAGCATTGGATTCTGAGGTAGATTAACAGCTCGTTTCTCCATGTTTTAGTGAAGCTGACAGGTACCTCATGGGTCTGCTTTGTGATCATGTAGGGTGTTTGGTGTAACGATCTAAAAGTTGTTACTTGTAAAATAACACTCTCAAAAACAATGACTTAAAATTTATATTTAGTTATTTAATTGCTTTGTAAATGAATCTAGTTTTTGAAATGCTTGAGATGTAATTTTTAGTAATAGCCTTGGAGGGAAAGCCTCCCTTTGTCTGTCAGGACTCTTCCCACTGAGAAAAGTTCTGTAAACAACGTGACTGAACACAGGCTCTAATGTGAGGACTATCGAGTTTCAACAAAATAAACGGGTTAACTTCGAAATTCGAGAAAACTGAAGCATTAAATTTTCAAAGAATTCTTCATGTTAAATGGTTTAACCTTTTCCAAATTGGAAATGTTTTCACTTTTCTTATAAAACATCTTTGTAGGCAATTTAGAAAGTATGGGAAAAGAATGAAAAAAATCCCCTTTAATTTCAGTATGCAGATAATCATTTTTAACAGTTTGATGTCTTCACATTTTGTTTTCTAGGTATAAGACAGACATTTTAAATCAAAATTGGAAGCATGGCTTATATATAAATTTGCAACATTCTTTCTACCCTTAACCCCTGTGAACCTATTTCTTTTGAAAAATTAATTTAGTGACTGAAAATGCCATCAAATCTATGTGCCATAATTTAAGTATTCCCTTTCTTTTGAATATTTGAGCTGTTTCTAATGTTTCCGTATTTTAACACTTGTGAGCATTCTTATATATATAATTCATTTATGCTGTTTGTTTTAATTCCTAAGGTGGCATAAAATACAGTACTTCAACAATCAAGTTTAATTACTGGGGTTACAATGATGTCTCCTAGGTGTTTTAGCCTGCTTTAGTACTTCGGTAACAAAGTACTGTAGACGGGGTGGCTTAACAACAACCATTTATTTCTCACTGTCCTGAAGACTGGGAAGTCACGGTGCTGGCAGATTCAGTTCTCGGTGAGGGCCTGCTTGGTGGTTTGCAGAGAGCCGTCTTCTTGCATCCTCACATTATGCAGAGCACAGAGAGAGGCAAGCTCTCTTGTCTCTGCTCTTACAAGGGCACTAAAACCATAAAGAGCGTTCCAACATCATGACTTAATTACCTCCCAAAGGCCCCCACCTCTTAATACATTGGGGATTGGGGGTCCACTATGTGAATTTTGGAGGAACACAAACATATATAGCACTAACACATTTCACATGCATAACAGTAAGGATGTGAATTGTGCCTGGTTGGTGGCCATTTCTTCACCTGTGTTAGTTAGCCACTTATGTCCTTGACCATAGATCATACTTCACCCTCCCTTTGCTAACGCTCCCCACCTCCCTCTCTCACTCTCCCAGTCCAGTTCTCTCCTCTCACTCCAACACTCGCAGGGGTGCTGAGCTCGTGTCATGCCAGGCAGATGTGGAAGACTGTAGTCTGGTGTGAACACAGTGCTAGTTCTGTCCAAGTGACCAAAATGGATTCTACACTGTTCTAGGTTTTGATTTTATTTTTCAAAAAGTTTTATTGAATCCAGTTCTGTGTGTATGACTTGAAGTATTTTTGACAGGTTCCTAAAAGGACATGTGAATGTAGTCAGTGGTTCCTTTTTAGAGTCTAATGTTTCTCCTTCCATTGAATTGCTTATAGATTCTATTGGAAGAATGCAGGGTGGGGGGTAAGAGGAGTGTTTCGCCCTTAAAAGCAGAAACTATTCATATATTTAAATAAGTAGATCAAGTTTATTTTCAGCAGTGTAATAACATACACTTTTTACCCTAATGATTTGGAGCTTGGGCTCCCAGAACTTTGACAGGCAGGGCTGTACCCAGCTCTATGTAAACCATTTTATCCTACTAACTAAAATCACATGCAGGCATACCTTAGAGACATTGCGGTTTTGCTTCCCAACCCCACCACAATAAAGCAAACATCACAATAAAGCAAGTCACATGAAGTTTTTGATTTCCCAGTGGATATAAACTTATACTATACTGTAGTCCATTAAGTGTGTAATAGCATTATGTCCAGAAAAAGGCACATGCTTTAATTAAAAAAATACTTTATTGCTAAAAATCACTAACCATCATCTGAGCTTTCAGCAAGTCCTAATCTTTTTGCTGGTTAGCCTTACCCTCAATTTGTAAAAAAACACAGTATCTGTGGAGAGCAACCAAGTGAGGCACAGTAAAAGGATGCACACCTCTACTGATCTCTGCAGGAAGATTGTGAAGCAGGGCTGAATACTGTGATTTTCTCTGAGTTAGATCACTTACTGCTGGTCAGTAATTATTAGATATCACCGATAGAAGCAGTGGTGCATGGCTCATCCTGGGTGTCAGAGCCAACTGCGTGTCTCCCTTTCC